CCAATCCGTGTGCCGTGTTCAACAATAATGGGCAGAAACCATCGACATGACAGGCTTGGTGCATCATGCATATCTTTAGGGGGAAACGGAATGCAGTGATGGATTTCATAATGGGGAATGCCTGCCAAGGATGTTGTGACACAACAATGTTGCTAGAAATGAGAAGATGGTCATTCTGTGACGCAGGCAAGTCATTTGGGGATTCCCCATGTAAAAACCCATGTTGTCATTAGTAATAAATAAATAATGGACATTGTTTCCTATGTCATGAGGATAATGTGAACAACGTAGAGCAGTGCCAGCAGTCGTGATTGCGGCATGCTCTTGTGGATTGTCTTATCGCACCTCGGCAGTGGGCATCTAAGCCACAGTCTAACATGCGCCTAAGGTTAGACCACGTAGCCCCTCTTCACACGCACTTCTTATATTATAGACATCCATGCTGAGTGGGATGGCCAACACACCTTTGCGTTTCCCAGCACCTTATAACTGAAATGAGGAAGTCGAAGGAGTGGTGGAAGAATGAAAATTTGGCAGAGTCAAGGTGAGTTTGAAAGGGAAGTTGTGGTGGGAGACATGAAGTCAGCGGGGAGAAAGGAAGGCTGACGTAGGACCCCATGCAACGAGAAGGAAGGAACTGTAATATTCAAATGAACTGGAAAAGTAAACAGTGAAAATGCCCGCATTTCCAGCATCAACGACATTGCGTACCGCTTTGGGGCTACGAAGTCGTGGGAGCGAATGCAGTGGGGCCGTTGGAAGGCCGGCAGGTGGCTAGGTATTGGGGGGAAGAAAGACCTGCAGTGGGGGGAAAGTGAGACAGGGAGTGAGGGGAAAGGAGGTTAGGCAGTTGGGGGTAGGAAGCCAGCAGTGGGGGGAATGGAAAGGTGTGCTAACGGGGAAAAAAGAGTGCAAGAGGGGGAATCGGGATGGTGTGCTAAGTGTGGAAACAACCTGTAAGAGGGGGGGGGCCGAGATGATGTGGCAAGGGGAAAAAACAAATGCAAGAGGGGGGAAACGGGATGGTGTGCTAAGGGAGAAAACAGTATGCGATAGGGGGGAAACGAATGGTGTTCTGAGGGGGAAGGCACAATTCAAGGGGGGGGACCGAGTAACATTTACAGGAATGCATGAAAATACGTACCAAGGGGAGCGAAAAAGCCGACTTCAATAAAATGGTTGCTGTTTTCCCTTGCTGACACCAATATGCTCATGCGACATTGCTAAGATCACCTGTTTGGAACAAGGGGCAGATCGTAACAAAGGAACGAGAGGAATGGTAGTGTTCATTTTTTAATCAACAACAAATCAATCAATAAAGCATTTTTATTGGATGGTACGTACCAAATAAAGGGCGCGGAGTTATCGTAGGCGGGCTGGACGTGGTTTGCCTCCGCTTGGGCAATGGTTGAGGGGTGTGTGGGGATGAAACGACAGTGTTTGCTGCAACATCCTCATCCATGCCGTCACCCGTCATACACTCCCAATCCTTCATGATGTCATCAACCCAACTCCAGTTCATGGGCCCCAAAACACGGCTGGTTTTCCCACGACGCACTCGTGTTGCTCGCCGGATCCTGATTTTTGTAGCACGCACCTCCCTCTCCAGTGAGTTGTTCCAATGCATGATTGCAAGCCCCACACGTGCTTTCATGCTTCCATGGAATAGTATGCGTTTGGGGGCATACTTGCAAATTAATGAATGAAATGACTCATTCATCCAATTGCCAGCTCCATGGACATATGCTGCCATCTCCTTTGGCCCACAGTTTTCCGCCAACCAAGCCTTGAACGCTATGTGGGTATCCGAGCCTCGCTCGTACACTGCACTCTCTAATCCCCAGTTATCCCTGACACATCTAGGAAGGGGGGATCCTTGGCGGGCACAGTGCGAGTGGTCACCAACCCAATGATCAGCAGCAAGTCCAATCTCGTCTGCGACCTCTTTTGCCGTCATTGATCGCCCTTGAATAGCGCGGCACATCGAGCCATCACGTGATGAAAGTGGATGCTAAATCGCTGCGCTACAGTCACCTCCCTGATCACGCCCTCGCACTCCTCCACCACCTCCGCATCACGTGACTCCACTCCTCGTTTCCTGCCCCGAGTTCCCTTTTCCACCCATCGCAGGGTTGTACTGGATGAACTTTGTCCACCTCCAGCCCCTGCATCATCATGGTGGATGTTGTTAGATGCAGATGATATGCATGCAGATAATATGCACATGTTCGCGGTCAATGAGTGACAGGAATATGACAAAGAAAATGGTCACGTGGACATCATGTCGACTAAGACAATCACAACAAATTGAACGTCCGCGTTGCATTACCTGAACCGGAACACGTGTTCCTCGAAGCGGATGCACAGGTCGTATCATCTCGCGCGGCCACACTGTGAGATGAAGCTGAAGCCTGTAAGATCATGAACGACTGCACTGAGCATGGTCGCACGCCATGCTCCGGATGGGGATCATATCCCCACAGCTCTGCTACATCTGAAAATCGGAAATCCAACCCATCATCGTCCGCACTTGGCTCCATCGTATTCCCCTCCAAGATGTCAATGGCGACCGATCCTCCGTAAACCCCACTGTCTGGAGAACCGCTGGCGCACCCACTGCCAGTAGGTCCTCGACCCTCAGTAACTGGTACCTCTACCATGCTCACTACACCCTCCTGGCCCCCTACTAGCCCCTCCGGGCCTTGTGATGCTCTACCCCCCTTGTTCGCCACCCCACCCCCACTCTGGCCTCGCACCTGGACAACACGACGCATCTCCTGGCAATCTGGGCCCAAGCCGCTCTCGCAACCATGCCTTGAGGTCTTCAGCCTTGATGTTCCAAAGATCCTAGATGGTGTCCGCATCTGATGGGGATTTTACCTTTTTCTTCCCCTCCATGAATTTTTTATGAAACATGCGTGATAGCGAACGACCCTTATGCCACACGTCGCGTTGATGCTCTATACTAGTACCAAGGATCCCAAGCTTGAATGACGCACCCTCGTCTGAAACTATGCCCTTTATTGGAAAACCCCACTTCTGAAGGTCTTGCACCCCTGTGCTAAAAGCAACCCCCTCTAACTGATTGGATGCCAGATCGTCTGGTTTTTTCGGCAAGGTGACGCAATGTATTATCTTCCTCGTCCTGGAATCCATGAATGCGACAGTGCACCACTCAGCTTCGCGTGGCTGTCCCCACCTCCCGTCGACACATAACCAAATATCCCGCCTACCCTGGGCGATCATCACTTCTCGTACCTTTGCCATACACATTTCTGCATGCGTTACTATCTTCTCCCATAAGCCACCCGGACCACTCATGTACTTATAGAAAGTCGTCTTACAAGGGACTGGCACGCCAAGGTTCCGCCCCACCTCCGAGAACACTTGGTAGCCTAAGCCAGCAAGTGCAAAAGACGCAAGGAACCTTTGCATCAATGTCAGACGTTTACGACCAGGCTTGCTTGCCTCACCAGGTGATACCTGACGTTTTATCGACCATAATGGTAAGGAACCATGGCACTGGTCACAAGTCCAAACCACTCCTAACGCCGCCCACATCAGCTTCCATGACCGTAAGTGCATCTTACCCCCACAACCTCGCCCTAGCGTGCACATAATCGAGATGGTCTGAAAGAACCTGATGACGTGAATGGGGTCCAAAAGACACACGACTTGTCGCAACCCGTCCATTGTCGGCTTGGATGACCATCTCCTTGGGGATCCCCCGGTCGGGGTACGATGAACCTGCGGATCTCTGGTGCGTAGATGCAATCCAGGTAAGGAAGAAGGGGGGAAGGAAAACGGTCATGGGTATAATGGGGTGGTTTTATTGTATCAGTGCAAGTCCAATACAAGTCACATGATACCATTCACCGTACATCATGATTATGTTGCATCCCCTAGTTCAAATGTTACATACCCTGTAATGTTCGCCTCGATGTCGTCCATGCATCCCTCCTCGGCTGTACACGGTGTCTCTTGGCCGTCGTTGCATGCCTCATCAATCTTTATTGACACATGGGCTTCACCAGGACACTCCTCCCCTCCTTCATCCATGGTAGCTTCAACGTTTGGTCGACGAACGCCATCTTCCATCTGTTCGACAACATGAGGTGTGGACTGGTCATAGTGCATGCTCTGTCCCGCTGACGCTAAAGGACAAGGGAGAGCAAGGGAGTAGATGATGAACAGTGGAGGAAGAATAGAAAAAGCGAGGGAAACAAGGGGATATGCGGGGAAAGAGAGGGAGTGGAGGGAAGAGAGAGGGAGGGAGGGGGTATATGAGTAGTATTGGGGTAAAAGATGGAAAACGGAGAGGCGAGAGGGGAGGCTGAATAAGGAAAGAGAGAGAAATCATTGGAGAAGAAGGGAAGTAACATATGCAAAAGAAGAGGAGATCAGAGCGGAAGAGGGCAGGGCGGATGGCATGGGTTATGGAAGAGAACGAAATGGGATTTACGAGGATACAGATGGTTGAATGTTTCGGCAGGCATCGCCTCACATTCTATGACATGCATTGGGGGAAAAGAGGACAGGCATTGGGGGGAAAAGAAGACAGGCATTGGGGGGAAAAGAGGACAGGCATTGGGGGGAAAAGAGGACAGGCATTTGGGGGAAAAGAGGACAGGCATTGGGGGGAAAAGAGGACAGGCATTGGGGGGAAAAGATGACAGGCATTGGGGGGAAAAGATGACAGGCATTGGGGGGAAAAGATGACAGGCATTGGGGGGAAAAGAGGACAGGCATTGGGGGGAAAAGAGGACAGGCATTGGGGGAAAAGAGGACAGGCATTGGGGGGAAAAGAGGACAGGCATTGGGGGGAAAAGAGGACAGGCATTGGGGGGAAAAGAGGACAGGCATTGGGGGGAAAAGAGGACAGGCATTGGGGGGAAAAGAGGACAGGCATTGGGGGGAAAAGAGGACAGGCATTGGGGGGAAAAGATGACAGGCATTGGGGGGAAAAGATGACAGGCATTGGGGGGAAAAGACGACAGCCATCACAGAGGCCGTTGGGGGAAAGGAGGCCAGGAAGTGGGGTGGGGAAAGACTCCCATGGGGGGATGGAAGGCAGGTTGAGGGTGGGAAATGAGGGCACGCAGTGGGGGGAAGGAAGGCCCGCAACAGGGGGAATTGAAGGGTGGCAGTGGGGGTAAAGGAGGACAGGCATTGGGGGGAAGGAGAACCTTCAGTGGAGGGAAAGAAGGCCAGGAAATTGGGGAAAGGAGCACCTGCAGATGGGGGGATGAAAGGCAGGCAATGGGGGGAAGTAAGACTGTGGGGGGGAAGGAAGGCAGGAAACAACCGTGGGGTCGGTGTGAGTGAACTGGGGGGGAAAGGAAGGCAAACAGGGGGTTAGAGGATGGCAAGCAAGGGGGGCGGAATGAAAGAAAGCAGAGGGGGGAACAAAGGCAGGCGAGGGGGAGATACGCAATAAATTAGGGATGGGTTTAGGGGGGGCGGCATGCGAGGAAGGCTGTCAGGGAGAAAAACGAAAGGCAGGTGATGGGGGGAAAGAAGACCTGCAGTGGGGGAAATGAAAGGCAGGCAGTGAAGGGAAACGAGGCCAGGTGATGGGGGGAAAGAAGACCTGCAGTGGGGGAAATGAAAGGCAGGCAGTGAAGGGAAACGAGGCCAGGTGATGGGGGGAAAGAAGACTTGCAGTGGGGGAAATGAAAGGCAGGCAGTGAAGGGAAACGAGGCCAGGTGATGGGGGGAAAGAAGACCTGCAGTGGGGGAAATGAAAGGCAGGCAGTGAAGGGAAACGAGGCCAGGTGATGGGGGGAAAGAAGACCTGCAGTGGGGGAAATGAAAGGCAGGCAGTGAAGGGAAACGAGGCCAGGTGATGGGGGGAAAGAAGACCTGCAGTGGGGGAAATGAAAGGCAGGCAGTGAAGGGAAACGAGGCCAGGTGATGGGGGGAAAGAAGACCTGCAGTGGGGGAAATGAAAGGCAGGCAGTGAAGGGAAACGAGGCCAGATAGTGGGGGGAAAGAAGACCTGCAGATGGGAGGATGAAAGGCAGGCACTTGCTTGTGACTCTGCCATTTGTCACGGATTGTACCCGGCAACCCATTGGGCACACCATGGCATGTGACGCACGGAGTGCTATGAGGGGGAAACGGAGTGCTATGAGGGGGAAACGGAGTGCTATGAGGGGGCAACGTAGTGCTATGAGGGGGCAACGTAGTGCTATGAGGGGGAAACGGGATGCTATAAGGGGAAACGGGATGCTATAAGGGGGAAACGGAGTGCTATGAAGGGGAAACGGAGTGCTATGAGGGGAAATCGGAGTGGTATGAGGGGGAAACGGAGTGCTATGAGGGGAAATCGGAGTGGTATGAGGGGGAAACGGAGTGCTATGAGGGGGAAACGGAGTGCTATGAGGGGGAAACGTAGTGCTACGAGGTGGAACGGGATGATATGAGGGGGAACGGGATGCTATACGGGGGAAACGGAGTGCTATGAAGGGGAAACGGAGTGCTATGAGGGGAAATCGGAGTGCTATGAGGGGGAAACGGAGTGTGGTGAGGGGGAAACTTCTATAAGGGGGAAACGGGATGCTATAAGGGGGAAACGGGATCATATAAGGGGGAAACGGAGTGCTTTGAAGGGGAAACGGAGTGCTATGAGGGGAAATCGGAGAGCTAAGAGGGGGAAACGGAGTGCTATGAGGGGGAAACGGAGTGCTACGAGGGGGAAACGGAGTGCTACGAGGGGGAACGGGATGCTATGAGAGGGAACGGGATGCTATGAGGGGGAACGGGATGCTCGGAGGGGGAAACGGAGTGCTATGAGGGGGAAACTCCCGTGCTATGAGGGGAAATCGGAGTGATGTGAGGGGGAAACGGAGTGCTATGAGGGAGAGACGGAGTGCTACGAGGGGGAAACGGAGTGCTACGAGGGGGAACGGGCTGCTATGAGGGGGAACGGCCTGCTATAAGGGGAAAATGGGCCCTCATGAGGGGGAAACGGGATTCTAAGAAGGGGAAACGGGATTCTAAGAGGGGGAAACGGGATTCCAAGAGGGGGAAACGGGATTCAAAGAGGGGGGAAACGGGATGCTATGAGGAGGGAGAAACGGGATGCTATGTTCATCGCGAAAGTGTGAGGCCCGAAAAGTTGCGGACCTGCAACTTCAAAGTTGCTTTTCCGCAACTTTGGTTTCGGAGAAAAAAAGTCTAGGTCAAAGGCTTCTGTGGCGGGGTGACTTAGAAGTTGCGGAAAAGTGACAAAAAAGCTTTGGAAAAGCGGCCATATCGCTACACGCAACACATCGAACAGGTGACATCAGAAGTGACATTTGTCTGAAGATCTTGGACTTTAAGTCCCCTTTTGGCACCCCTTCGCCACGTGGACGCCTGAACGCCACGCCTGAACGCCAGCTGTCAAGGTAAACAGTGGACGTGAAAAGGCCACGTGGACCAATCAGATTTCGGGACGCATATTGGCGCATGCAATGCAAATTGTTGAAATTCTTCCGTTAAGCATGTACATTGAGAATTTTATATTTATATAAACATATAATTCATTACATTAGACTTGACAACAATTCGCACTAAGACCATAATCAGCATGATCTGGCACAATTAAATAATCTAAATGAAGGTACTTCAACAGAAGCAAACATTGTTGCCCTTTCAACCACTTAAGCCTGGAGTTTTGAAACACAGTACAAACAGAAACATCAAATCTCAACAAAGGCGGGGTAGTTTTTTCCCTCTTAGCCATGGTACCTGCAAAAACTTATGTTAGCCAGGAGAATACGAATTAGTAGTAGACATCGAAAGGCAAAAGAGCAGCACAACAAAAAAGTCATGAGAGCTGCAACATAACAAACGCAAGGTAAGAAACATGGCAAGTAATACAAAAGCGGCCAGTTACCTGCAGCGACGGTACGCGACTCGGTTAATAGCAGTCAAGACAACAAGAATACTGGCTATGAGGGCGCACCACATGATGGTAATAAAAATAAAACCGGGTACATTTCCTGAAAAATCCGAGTAAGAGAATACGGCCATATAGTTGGCGTTCGAAAATCCCGTCTGTGCAAAGCACAGTAAGAGCATCCGCTGCTGGTTAAGACAAGAACGCCTAGTTCTGAATAAGCGTCGGAAATGACAAAGCGGAAATCACGAACAACGTGACATACTACGACGTACCGGAACATGTAAAAAGCAACACGGTGCCGTGTCTTCCTAATCAACATCAACACCAGAATCGTATCTGCAGCCAACAGTCCGATGGCACAAAACACGGCAACAACAACAGAAAATATTAATACGAGAGTGGAAACCGCAAGCATAGAAAGATGACGTGAACACACTAGGGCGATAATACATTAGAGCAAAGAGCGGGAAATCTAGCTAGAGAAAGCAGATACGGACTAGAGAGGTAATGTGAAAAACAGCAGGAAACTTGAGTTACGGTCTACAAATAAACAGATCAAAAACTGGCTGAGAAGAAAGGGTTGGGAGGTTGGGAGAATATGGGATGGGTTGTGGGTGGGAGATGACGTGGAGATAAGGAATGATAATGATTGGTGGAGCCTTGTTTGTTTCCTACGTCGATTGGTTAGAACTCTGCGAGGGTTGGGTTGGATGAAACAATTTTGGCACTTAGTGATTGGCGAAATTCGCAAATGTTGTGAGCACTGAAAATTTCGCGCTACTTGTGGATTGGTTGTGTGAACACAACATTACATTTTCGAAATTTCGGTCCAGACAGGTAACATTTCGTTAGTTTTCACGAAGTGGGCATGGACATTCAAGGGGCGCACGTGACATTTCTGTACCTTTTTTGTTGCGAGAAAGTGACTGGCCATATGTCACGTCATAGTCACTTGTGGCCAGAGCTTTTCCACAAGTCCGCCGAAGCTTTTCAGAAGCATTTTCGCAAGAAAAGCTTCTGTGTACATTTTGTGATTGCTGAACTTTTCGCGATGTTTTGGAACGCGGAATGCTCTAACGGGAGAACTCGAATGATATGCCTAAGCACACATAATGCCAAGGTGCGGGAATCGCGTGATGCATGCCGTCACAATTCACCACAAAATCTCAGGGGAATGGTATGGCCAGACAGCCACCCCCAGAAAATTAGATTGTTCATATGTCAAACACTAAATGCTAGGAAAGGGAGTGCTAATTTGGAAGGGTCGGGCTCAAAAACCGAATCATGCGAACACGAGCGGTTTGATTCAACGTGTGTCCCGCTGTGGAGTGGTAGTAGGTGTTCTGTAGTAGGTGTTCGTGGGCCGACATCAGTACCTGATGAATTTCGGCGATTTGGCTGCTATGAGTACAGCCTCACGATAATTCGTCGCTGAAGAAGTCGCGTCGTCGTTTCTTGCTGTCACTCTAAAATAACACCCGTGATTTCTAAGTGCCTTATTCAGCGACAGACTAGTTCGTCGGAGAGTTCATCAACATTGAGCATGGTGGGAGAAGCTATGAGACAAGGGCCGTTAGACAGTGCGCGCGCCGTGGCCTAAACCCGGCTAGCCACAAAGCGTTTGGTAGGTAAGATAACTGTTGTACTCATAATGGCCTCTCTTGGTGTGTGGTGTGTGTTGAGTTTCTTGATGTCGAGAGAAAATTGTGGCAGTGGTTTGTTGTTGGTGCGCTGCGCAGGTCAAGTTCATCCCCCCCTCCCTTTCCCTTCCCCTTGCGCGCATTTGTGACCTCCTAGTGTGCCTTCCTTCCCCCCTACGCATTTCACACTCATTTCGTTTTGTTCGTCACGGCCTGTTCAACTTGTTTTGTCTCGCACCACTGAACCCTTTTCGCGCAGGGCTGACGTCAGCACTGTTCCTTTGCCAAAAGTGCACCGTCGCTTTAACACCTCTCAACTTTTTTTGTAATTCAGGCTGCGGGTTTTAAAGCCCAAGACCTGAATTACTCAACGGAAGTCAACGCTAAAAACTAGGTTCGGGAGGCAGGCACGGAGAGGTTCGGTTGGGTTGCGAGAGACTTTCACTCGCGAAACCAATTTGCGACAACAGTTTCTCGCTTCCCATGATGGGTGGGGTCCTTCCCACAACCAGAAAAGCGCGAGCACAGCAAACTGTGCACAGTTTGAGATATCACGCTAAGTACAAGGCATAGACCATACTTGTAGACAGGGCAGGGCGTCGGCGTTCACTCAACAGGGATCAGATGGGCCTTACGATGTGGGTGGCGCGGATTTCGAAGATGACGCGCAACCCTAGTGTTCGCTGGGTGAAGTTTTTTGTGTCGAAATGCAGGTTATTGTGCAACTACTCCGTAGCGTAAACTCGCGGCGAAAATCGAATCGCCCAAACGTGACCCCTCCCGTCGCCCTCGCTTTCCTTTCCCTCGCTTCCGCTCTCTGTCGCCCGCGTCGTCGCCATCGCGACCGCAGCTCGTCGCGTTCGCGACCCCACCCCGTCGCCTCCGCTCCGCCCGTCGCCTCCGCTCAGCCCGTCGCCTTCACTCCCCCCCCTCCCCCCCCCTCTTCCGTTGCCTTCATTTCCCCCTCCCGTCGCCTTCACTTCCCCCTCCCGTCGCCTTCACTTCCCCCTCCCGTCGCCTTCATTTCCCCCTCCCGTCGCCTTCATATCCCCCTCCCGTCGCCCTCACTTCCTCTCCCGTTGCCTTCATTTCCCCCTCCCGTCGCCTTCACTTCCCCCTCTCGTCGCCTTCATTTCCCCCTCCCGTCGCCTTCATATCCCCCTCCCGTCGCCCTCACTTCCTCTCCCGTTGCCTTCATTTCCCCCTCCCGTCGCCTTCACTTCCCCCTCTCGTCGCCTTCATTTCCCCCTCCCGTCGCCTTCATTTCCCCCTCCCGTCGCCTTCATTTCCCCCTCCCGTCGCCTTCATTTCCCCCTCCCGTCGCCTTCATTTCCCCTCCCGTCGCCTTCATTTCCCCCTCCCGTCGCCCTCATTTCCCCCTCCCGTCGCCCTCACTTCCCCTTCCCGTCGCCTTCACTTCTCCCCTCCGATGCCTTCGATTCCCCCTCCCGTCGCCTTCCACGCCTGCCGCACTCGCTTTCCCGCCCGTCACCTTCACTTCCCCTCCCATTGCCTTTCACTCTCTCCTGCTCCCTCTCTTTCCCCCTGCTCACTCTCTCCCCCCCCCACTCACTCTCTTTCCCCCTGCTCACTCGCTTCCCCCCGCCTCATTCTCTTTCCCTCTGCTCACTCCTCTTTTTCTCACCCCGCTTTCCCCATTCCTTCACGCTCTCTTTCTCTCTCTCCCCCCGTCGCCCTCCCTTCCACTCCTCGTTGCCCTTGCCATCCCTCCCTTCTCCCTTCCCATCTCGCACACTTGTCACGCCCCCTTTCCAACCCGCACATACACCCTTCCCTTCTTCCCTGTTTCCCCGTATCCCCGGCGCTGCTTCTCACCATCCTCCGACTTGCTCCCCCCATCCCCTTCCCTGCTTCCCCCTTCCCCTCCCCTGCCTCCCCCCATCCCCTTCCCTGCTTCCCCCTTCCCCTCCCCTGCCTCCCCCCATCCCCTTCCCTGCTTCCCCCCATCCCCTTCCCTGCTCCCCCCCATCCCCATCCCTGCTTCCCCCCATCTCCTTCCCTGCTTCCCCCCATCTCCTTCCCTCCTTCCGCCTGTGCCCTCCCCTGCCTCCCCCCATCCGCTTCCCTGCTTCCCCCCTTTCCCTTCACTGCTCCCCCTCATCCCCTTCCCTGCTTCCCCCCATCTCCTTCCCTGCTTCCCCCCATCCCCTTCCCTCCTTCCCCCCATCCCCTTCCCTGCTCCCCCTCATCCCCATCCCTGCTTCCCCCCATCTCCTTCCCTGCTTCCCCCCATCCCCTTCCCTCCTTCCCCCCATCCCCTTCCCTGCTCCCCCTCATCCCCATCCCTGCTTCCCCCCATCTCCTTCCCTGCTTCCCCCCATCCCCTTCCCTCCTTCCGCCTGTGCCCTCCCCTGCCTCCCCCCATCCCCTTCCCTGCTTCCCCCCTTCCCCTTCACTGCTCCCCCTCATCCCCTTCCCTGCTTCCCCCCATCTCCTTCCCTGCTTCCCCCCATCCCCTTCCCTCCTTCCGCCTGTGCCCTCCCCTGCCTCCCCCCATCCATCCCCTTCCCTGCTTCCCCCCTTCCCCTTCCCTGCTCCCCCCCGTCCCCTTCCCTCCTTCCCCCCGTCCCCTACCCTGCCTCCCCCCATCCCCTTCACTGCTTCTTCCCAACCCCTTCCCTGCTCCCCCCCATCCCCTTCACTGCTTTCCCCCTTCCCCTTCCCTGCTTCCCCCCATCTCCTTCCCTGCTTCCCCCATCGTCTTCCCTGCTCACCCTTGCTCCCTCTGTTTCACTCTTGCTCCCTCTGTTTCACCCTTGCTCCCTCTGTTTCACCCTTGCTCCCTCTGTTTCACCCTTGCTCCCTCTGTTTCACCCTTGCTCCCTCTGTTTCACCCTTGCTCCCTCTGTTTCACCCTTGCTCCCTCTGTTTCACCCTTGCTCCCTCCCCTTCTTCTCTTCTCACTTTCCTCCCCCTTGCTCACTCTCTTTACTTCTGCTCACTCTGTTCCCCCTGCTTCCTCTCTTCCCCTCTGTTCAATCTGTCCCCCGCTGCTTCTTCTCCTCCCCTCTGCTCATTCCGTTTACTGTCTTTCCCACTTCACTCACCCCCATATCCCCCAATGCAGGTACAGGTGCCAAGCACCAGATGTGGCTTTACCACGGCCTGGTTTTTTTGCTTGCAGTGTAGCAGACTGGCAAGACAAACCGGGAAGCAACATCACACACACACCCCCTAGCTTTGTTCCCTTCTCGAGTTGGGTGATTCCCCTTACTTTACAGATACGGTAATATATTAATTATTGAACTCCTTGGTATTGGTCATATGTATGACTGCTCTGAGGCTCATAATCCTGTATTATAAAAAAAAAAAATCCAATACATGGCATGGCTATACATCATGTTACTATCAGACAGCCTAGGTTATTCACAACCAGATGCAGAGCAGGCCTGTCCAAACACAAACCAAGAAGTCAGATGTGACGTGGCTGAAATATAAGGGAAGCAAGCATTCAAAAGAATGACAACTGGCAAATGAGGGAGGAACGGAGGAAGGGAAGAAGTGATGAATGCAGGAATGAAGGAAGGGAGGAAGTGATGATGGGAGGAAGGGAGGCAGCGAGGACGCTTGGGGGAGAAGCAGAAGGGAGGGGAGGAAGAAAGGCTGGGGAGGAGGGTGGGGAGGAGAAAGGGTGGCAGGGAGGTAACGAGGATGGAGGATGGGAGGAACAAATGGAGGTGAGGTACGGCAGATGGGAGACATGGAGGAACGGGGCGGGGAGAGGAGGGAATGAGAAAACGAGAGGAGGGAATGAGAAAACGAGGAGGGAATGAGAAAACGAGAGGAGGGATCGCGAAAGGAGGGATAGGGGCAGGAGTTGGGGATGGGATGGATGGGGAGGAGGGGATGGGTATAGAAAGGATGGATAGCGGAGGTGGTGAAGAACAAACCTTTTGGCGAGGCGGAAGATGGGAAGATGGGAAGAAGCAGGGAGGAGAGGGGTCGGGTGGAGGTGACGGGGAGGTCGCGGGATGGGGTATGACCGTATGGTGGGATGGGAAAGTTGGCAGAGGGAATGATGGGATCGGGAAAGGAGGGATGGGGAAACGAGGGAATGGGGATGAGGAGTAGGATGGCATGGCGGAATGGGGTGGGGCGGAATGGGGTGAGGCGGAATGGGGAGATGAGGGATGACGAGATGAGGGATGAGGAGATGAGGGATGGGGAGATGAGGGATGGGGAGATGAGGGAAGGGGAAATGAACGCATATGCGACAGAAGCGGAGAACGACTTGTCGGTCGAGGGGAGGGTGCGTGCGTGGGTGACAGGAGGGGAATGAGCGAGTGCCTTCAAGGGAAGGGAGGAGATGGGGTGAGGAGGAGCTAAGGATTGGATGGATGGGAACAAGACGGGACGGATGGAGCAAGCGTGGGCGATGAGAAACGTGGGGGAAGGTGGGGGAAAGCGTGAGCGACGGTGGGAGCGTACGCGACATTATGGGGAAGCTTGGGTGACGGTGGGGGGAAGCGTGGGCGACGGTGGGAGGATGAAGGCCGAATGAGAGAAAGGGGGATGAGAGGATAGGGGGATGAGAGGAAAGGAGGATGAGAGGAAAGGAGGATGAGAGGAAAGGAGGATGAGATGATGGGCGGATGAGATGATGGGCGGATGAGAGGATGGGCGGATGAGATGATGAGCGGATGAGATGATGGGCGGATGAGATGATGGGCGGATGAGATGATGGGCGGATGAGGAGAGGGAGAATGGCAGGAAGGGAGGGCGGGAGGAAGGGAGGGAGAACGGGCAACAGAAAGGGGAAAGAGGGTAGTGAGGCAGAGAGTGTGGGATAGATGGCGGAAGGGAGGAAGAAAGAGGGAGAGGAGGACGACTGTGGGGGCCCCACGGAACGGAGTAAGGGAGAAGGGCAGGAGGTAAGAGTGTGGCAGGGTATAAGGGGGATAGGAGGATCCCTGCACCCTCTCTCCCTAACCCCCGCCTCCCCCGCTCCGCATCCCCTAACCCGCCCCCTGCAGCACTGCACTCCTTGCTGCCCGCCTGCACGCGCTGCCCTGGCTGTGCGCCCAACACTCTGCTCCACAGCCGCACCACCACCTGCCATGGGCGACGGTGGGGAGAAGCGTGGGTGACGGTGCGGGGAAGCGTGGGCGACGGTGGGGGGAAGCGTGGGCGACGGTGGGATGAAGCGTGGGCGACGGTGGGAGGAAGCGTGGGCGACGGTGGGGGAAAGCGTGGGCGACGGTGAGAGGAAGCGTGGGCGACGGTGGGGGAAAGCGTGGGCGACGGTGGGAGGAAGCGTGGGCGACGGTGGGAGGCAGCGTGGGCGACGGTGGGGGGAAGCGTGGGCGACGGTGGGAGGAAGCGTGGGCGACGGTGGGAGGAAGCGTGGGCGACGGTGGGAGGAAGCGTGGGCGACGGTGGGAGGAAGCGTGGGCGACGGTGGGAGGAAGCGTGGGCGATGTGCGGGGAAGCGTGAGGGAAGGTGGGGGAAGGTGGGGGAGGGCGCGAGCGACGGTGTGGGGAAGCGTGGGGGAAGGCAGGAGGGAGCGTGAGCAGCGGTAAGGGGAAGCGTGAGCGACGGTGGCGGAAAGCTAGGGCGACGGTGGGGGAAAGTGTGAGAGGTGGGGGAAAGCGTTGGCGACATCGCGGTTTTGACAAGGTGAGAAAGTCACAGAAATGTGAATTTTTTGTGATGAATACGTGACTATTTTCCGGGAGTTGTGTGAGAGACGGTGGGGAGAAGCGTGGGGGACGCAACGGTGGAAGCACAACCTGAATTACGAAAGAAGGCAAAGTGTGCACACTATGAGCGGTTGTTCCTTCAGGAGGGAGCAGTTGGGACTCTCGCCAACCATACTTGTTCTCCCCTACGACTCTGTGTTTTTTGGCGCGATGTTTTCTGGTAACCAGCCTGGCTCGGGAAGTCAACTGTGGGTTCGGAAGGCAAACTGTGCACAGTTTGCCTTCCTCTTTTTGTAATTCAGGTCTTGGGCTTTAAAGCAGCAGTATACATTTGACAGCACTGTTGCTTCTGTACAGTGTGCAAGGCGATTTCGCCTCAACGAAAAAAAAAAAACGAGGGGGGCGATAGTTTTGGCGAAAACCTAGGGCACTTCTGTTGCGAGGGAACCAGGGTTGGGTTGGTTGTGAGTCACAAAATGGTTCAATGCTCCCGTCACCCACCTCACCTGCCACCCTCACGCACTACGAAGAATAAGCAACTAAAACCTAATAGACCAGGTAGAAATAGCCAAGGCGCGCGCTGGAAGGTGCGAAGCCAGCAGCGTGACCATACACGAAGTCGCGGGTGAGTAATTAGGGAGCCGCATTACAAGCCTCGCCTGCGAAACGACCAGCAAAAGTGCGCAGAAGTTGCAGCTTGTGCAGCAACTGTCGCGCTCTCCCCTCAAGCATCGCACGCGCGCCTGCGTTCCGTGCGAGCCAGCACAGCGCGCGTCAGCATTGCGCGCTCAGCAAAGCAGCGCACGCCAGCAAAACGTGCGCAGCAAAGCGACACTTCATCTGCATAGCGCGCGCGTCAGCACAGCGTGCCAGAGACGCCTCGCGTTCACCCAGGGGCTATCTCGTGTATAAGAGCAGGCGCTCGCTCCGTGTCGTGCGCCCTGACGCATTCGCGCCGTCGCATACCAGCCGCATTCCCCCGACCGCAAGCCCCCTTCGACATTCCCTTGCCACATCCCCCCCTCCGCATTCCATCACGGAGCCTTCCACCTGCCGCAACCCCCGTTCCGCATTCCCCCTGCCGCATCCCCGATTCCGCAATCCCCCAGCCGCATTCCCCCTTCCGCATTCCCCCTTCCGCATTCCCCCTTCCACGGTCCCCCGTCCATATTCCCCCTTCCCCATTCCGCCTTCCCCATTCCGCCTTCCGCATTCCGCCTTCCCCATTCCGCCTTCCCCATTCCGCCTTCCGCATTCCGCCTTCCGCATTCCCGCTGCCGCATCCCCGATTCCGCAATCCCCCAGCCGCATTCCCCCTTCCGCATTCTCCCTTCCGCATTCTCCCTTCCGCATTCTCCCTTCCGCGTTCCCCCTTCCGCATTCCCCTTCTGCATTCCCCCTTCCGCATTCCCCCATCCGCATTCCCCCTTCCGCATTCCCCCGCATTTCCCCTTCCGCATTCCCCCTTCCGCATCCCCCCTTCCGCATTCCCCTTCCGCATTCCCCCTTCCGCATTACCCAGCCTGCTTCAAACTCACTCCCTCGTGCTCCCTGCCTCATGCTCACTCCCTCGTGCTCTCTGCCTCGTGCTCACTCCCTCGTGCTCACTCCCTCGTGCTCACTCCCTCGTGCTCACTCCCTTGTGCTCCCTGCCTCATGCTCACTCCCTTGTGCTCCCCCACCCCCACGTCCATCTCCTGCCTCCCTTTGCGCCCCATCAGCCGCGCAACGCCTTTGGCAGTTTCCCCCCTACTAGCCCTCCCTTCCCCCTCATCATGCCACGAGTTTCCCCCTTACTGCTTCACCTCCTTTTCCCCCCTGCATCCCCTCCTTTCCCCCCCTGCATCCCCTCCTTTCCCCCTCTGCTTCACCTCCTTTTCCCCCCTGCATCCCCTCCTTTCCCCCTCTGCTTCACCTCCTTTTCCCCCCTGCATCCCCTCCTTTCCCCCCCTGCATCCCCTCCTTTTCCCCCCTGCATCCCCTCCTTTTCCCCCCTGCATCCCCTCCTTTCCCCCCTGCATCCCCTCCTTTCCCCCCCTGCATCCCCTCCTTTCCCCCCTGCATCCCCTCCTTTCCCCCCCTGCCTCACCATGCTGCCTCACCTGGTATTCATCCATCAGGTCTGCAGTGAATTCTACCAATCCCATGCCGCCACCTGTCCCTTCCTCCGCTCCCCCACTCACTCCCAGCACATCCAGATCCAACACAACGACAGCAGGCGCCCTCTTATTGGCCCGTGCCACTGCCCTCCCCAGCAGCCGCCGAACCTCCTTCGCAGGCTCGGACCCGAGCCTGGAACAGCTGACACACTCTGTGTGCGCGAGGCAGGTCCGGTCGTTTCGAACCTGCCAGGCTAGGGCCGAAGCCAGGGAGGTTTTGCCACTGGCACCGGAGCCGTGGAGGAGGATAGATCCTGGGGAAGGGAGGCGGAGGGAGTGGCGGGTGAGGCGGAAGGGGAGGGAAAGAGAGGCGTGGAGACGGGAGAGGGCTGTGGAGGCTGGCTGGTGCAGGGATGGGAGAGAGTGAAGGAGGAGGGGTGATTGAGGGGTGGTGAGACAACTTTTGGTTGTGATTCTGATAAAGGTGTTAGGGCTAATCTGCTCGGTGGTGGTGCTGAGGATGTGGGCAGAGGTAGCAAAGTAGAAAGCACGGAGAGACACTTTTGGAAGAGTGACCCGCTTGTGCTCTTGTTGTATCTTGACATCAATAGCATGTTACAGCGCATTTACCAGCATGTACCCTCTGCCTTTCCTCTTTCTATAAGGCATCTTTAGGTTTGCAATTGATGTAGAAAAAAAAAGAGCTTTCACAGCTGTATGTACACATGATAAATCAGCACCAGGTATACAAGACAGTGCCATCCTCTACTCTGGGTGTCATCTTCACGCCGTGACACACTCCTGGAACCTGATGCCCCTCCCCTCATGCCGCCAAGTTTGCTTGGGCGAGGCTTTGTTCTGCTTGTAGCTGGAGCAGAGGGCATTGTCCTCCTTATACGTTGCTGAATTACATGCAAAACCGGCTGCTTTGCGTATGCATACACGTTGTGTGACACCTGGTGTCGCATCGGCAAATAATGGGGCCCCAAACCCATGGGAGGGAAGGTAGGGGTGGGGGCGAAGGGAATAAAAGTGAGTACACGTAAGTTAGAAGGGAGTGTATGGGGCAAATGTGATGGCAACACGTGCACGGGAACTAGGAGGCACAAGGCGAAGAGTGGCGCAGAAGGGCAGGGCAGAGAAGGAAAGAGCAGGGATGGAAGGGCAGGGATGGGGAGGGAGCGGAGGGGAGGAAGTGGAGGGAGGGATTAGGGAGGGAATGAAGGGGAGGGGAGGAAGGAGACGGAAGGAAAGGAAGGGAAGGAAGAGTAGTGGCAGGAAAGAGAAAGGCCAAGGAATTTGAGGGATGGGGGAAGGGAAGTGGACGGGAGAGGAAGGGAGAGTGGGGGTAGGGGGGGTTGGTTACAGGAAGCAAGAATGGAGGGAAGAGAGGAGCAGAGAGGACAGGGCGGGAAGAGAGGCGCAGAGAGGGAAGGCCGGGAAGAGAGGTGCAGAGAGGGAAGGCCGGGAAGAGAGGTGTAGAGAGGGAAGGCCGGGAAGAGAGGTGCAGAGAGGGAAGGCCGGGAGGGGAGATGGGGATGCAGGGAGGGGAGATGGGGATGCAGGGAGGGGAGATGGGGATGCAGGGAGGGGAGATGGGGATGCAGGGAGGGGAGATGGGGATGCAGGGAGGGGAGATGGGGATGGAGGGAGGGGAGATGGGGATGCAGGGAGGGGAGATGGGGATGCAGGGAGGGGAGATGGGGATGCAGGGAGGGGAGATGGGGATTCAGGGAGGGGAGATGGGATGCAGGGAGGGGAGATGAGGATGCAGGGAGGGGAGATGGGGATGCAGGGAGGGGAGATGGGGATGCAGGGAGGGGAGATGGGGATGGAGGGAGGGGAGATGGGGATGCAGGGAGGGGAGATGGGGATGCAGGGAGGGGAGATGGGGATGCAGGGAGGGGAGATGGGATGCAGGGAGGGGAGATGAGGATGCAGGGAGGGGAGATGGGGATGCAGGGAGGGGAGATGGGGATGCAGGGAGGGGAGATGGGGATGCAGGGAGGGGAGATGGGGATGCAGGGAGGGGAGATGGGGATGCAGGGAGGGGAGATGGGGATGCAGGGAGGGGAGATGGGGATGCAGGGAGGGGAGATGGGGATGCAGGGAGGGGAGATGGGGATGCAGGGAGGGGAGATGGGGATGCAGGGAGGGGAGATGGGGATGCAGGGAGGGGAGATGGGGATGCAGGGAGGGGAGATGGGGATGCAGGGAGGGGAGATGGGGATGCAGGGAGGGGAGATGGGATGCAGGGAGGGGAGATGAGGATGCAGGGAGGGGAGATGGGGATGCAGGGAGGGGAGATGGGGATGCAGGGAGGGGAGATGGGGATGCAGGGAGGGGAGATGGGATGCAGGGAGGGGAGATGAGGATGCAGGGAGGGGAGATGGGGATGCAGGGAGGGGAGATGGGGATGCAGGGAGGGGAGATGGGGATGGAGGGAGGGGAGATGGGGATGCAGGGAGGGGAGATGGGGATGCAGGGAGGGGAGATGGGGATGCAGGGAGGGAAGATGGGGATGCAGGGAGGGGAGACGGGGATGCAGGGAGGGGAGATGGGGATGCAGGGAGGGGAGATGGGGATGCAGGGAGGGGAGATGGGGATGCAGGGAGGGGAGATGGGATGCAGGGAGGGGAGATGAGGATGCAGGGAGGGGAGATGGGGATGCAGGGAGGGGAGATGGGGATGCAGGGAGGGGAGATGGGGATGCAGGGAGGGGAGATGGGGATGCAGGGAGGGGAGATGGGGATGCAGGGAGGGGAGATGGGATGCAGGGAGGGGAGATGGGGATGCAGGGAGGGGAGATGGGGATGCAGGGAGGGGAGATGGGGATGCAGGGAGGGGAGATGGGGATGCAGGGAGGGAAGATGGGGATGCAGGGAGGGGAGATGGGGATGCAGGGAGGGGAGATGGGGATGCAGGGAGGGGAGATGGGGATGCAGGGAGGGGAGATGGGGATGCAGGGAGGGGAGATGGGGATGCAGGGAGGGGAGATGGGGATGCAGGAAGGGGAGATGGGGATGCAGGGAGGGGAGATGGGGATGGAGGGAGGGGAGATGGGATGACAGGCAGGGTGACAAGGCCGAGGCTGGAAGGGGAGATTGTAAGGCAGGCCTTGGACAATGGGAATGCACAATGAGGAAGAGGGGAGGGGAGGTTGGCGAGATGAGGAGGAGGAGGGGGAGAATGGGACGCGGGAAGGGGAGAATGGGAGGCGGGACAAGGAGAATGGGAGGTGGAACGAGGAGAATGGGAGGCGGGACGAGGAGAAGGGGAGGCGGGACGAGGAGAAGGGGAGGCGGGACGAGGAGAAGGGGAGGCGGGAAGGGGAGATAGGGAACGGGAAAGGGGAATAGGGCGGCGGGAAAGGGGAATAGGGCGGAGGGAAAGGGGAATCGGGAAGGGAGAGAAGGGAGGGAAGGGAGAGAAGGGAGGGAAGGGAGAGAAGTGAGGGAAGGGAGAGAAGGAAGGGAAGGGAGAGGAGGTAGGGAAGGGAGGGGAGGGAGGGAAGGGAGATAAGGGAGGGAAGTGAGAGAAAGGAGGGAGAAGGGAGAGAAAGCAGGGAAGGGATGGACGGGAGTGAAGGGAGGGGAAGAAAGTGGGAGGGGTTTTGAAGGGGGGGCATGAAGGGAAGGGCCGGTTTGGAAGGGGAGGAGGCTAGGGCAGGTACCCTATGGATGGGAAGTGGAGAATGGGAAGCGGGAATGGAAGAATGGGAGACAGGAAGGGGAGAATGGGAGGCGGGGAAGGGGAGAATGGGAGGGGGAATCGGGCGGCGGGAAAGGGGAATCGAGCACGGGAAAGGGGAATCGGACGACGGGAAAGGGGAATCGGGCGACGGGAAAGGGGAATCGGACGTTGGGAAAGGGGAATCGGGTCGCGGGAAAGGGGAATCGGGCGGCGGGATAGGGGAATCGGGCTGCGGGAAAAGGGAATCGGGCGGCGGGAAAGGGGAATCGGGCGGCGGGAAAGGCGAATTGGGCGGCGGGAAAGGCGAATTGGGCGGCAGGAAAGGCGAATCGGGCTGCGGGAAGGGCGAATCAGGCGGCGGGAAAGGCGATTCGGGGCTCCGCGAAGCCGCGAGGGTAGGTGTGAACGGCTTCAATGATCTCACACTTGGCGAATGACTGCAAATTAGGAACGCAAAATAAACAATGGCACGGTTGGCGTATGACCTAATTTATAAGATGTCCCATGGTCGCTGTACCCAAATATTGCCTACGGTGGTTACCTTTTAGTAGTGCACACTAAGAACGCGGTGGGAGTGGGGCTAGTGGGGAGGAGGCAACTCCATCAGTATACTTTTGGCTTTCATAATATTTTGACGATCGAGTCTGGTGAGAGGGGTTGGGAAGACTTTGTCGCTCATGACAGAAGTGGAGTGGCCCTATAATTCGGTTACCACCAGGTCCCTTTTATAAACTTTTGGCACTAGCCCTGCCAAATGTATACCGCTGCTTTAAGAAAAAAGTCATTTCACCTTGTCATACAAATGAGAACTAGGCCAAACAAAGGACCCAGGCAGGGACCTAGAAAGTTTAGGTTTTGCACGGGTCTGGTTGCGCGAAGTCCGAAAGTAACGCGAGGCAGGCCCAGAAGGCAAGATCTCCGGGCCGAGCTTGGTCTTCTGAAAAATGGGCTTGTTTGCACGGACCCAGTAAGGAACGGAAATTTCTTGCGATGTCCAACACCGAAAACACACTGGTTGTACACTATTGATATTGCAAACACTCTATGGTGTTGCAAGTTGGAACGGCATAATCAGCCGCTATTGATGATTGTCATCTCCCTCAGCACCTCGAGCCAGCTAGCTCTAGCTGACTCTTGACTCTTAACTAAATCACCTCGAAGCACATAGTAACTAGCATGATCAGCCGCTACCGATCATTGTCATCTCCCTCAGCACCTCAAGCCAGCGAGCTCTAGCTGATGCATCCTCCCCTGCCTCTCCCCTTCCATTGCTCTTCCCCCCTGCCTCTGCTCCTCTTGCTGCCTGCTCCACTGCTCGCTGCAGCAGAAAGAACCTGCAGGCAGAGAGCGACAAACGAGTAGGAAGGATGAGACACTGGTGAGGAGAGCGACAAGAGGGTAACAAGAGCGAGCAAAAGGATAGTAACAGCAAAGAGTAACAACAGCGGGTAACCCTGGCTGCTTGCCCCGCAGCACGAGATAATCAAACAGACGTTACTGCTCTTGAGCAGAATAGTACTTTTGAGACGTTTCGCAAGTCAACTGGTGCTGCTGTACTTGAGATGCATCCACCTAGGCCAAGCTGACAACAGGTATATTCTGTGCCTTTTCACACAAACCAGCTTTCTCACCTCTTCTCTCTCCTTTTTGTCACCTCCTTCCTCAACTCTCCTCACCCGCCTTTCCCACCTCTCCTCACTCGTCACCTCTCCTCAATCCTTCCCACCCCTCCTCACCCCTTCCCACCCAGTGCATGCTCACCTCTCCTCACTCCCCAACGCATCTGCCAGGGGTATCCACATGCCAATGGCCGCCTCATCACCCCACCCCTTATAGCCTCCCCAGCACCCTAAGCAAAGGAAAATAACATACCCTTACGTTTTCTCTCCTCATCACCGATTCCCACCTCTTCTCACTCCTACTCACCTCTCCTCACTCCCCAACGCATCTGCCAGTGGTATCCACATGCCAATCGCCGCCTCATCCCCCTTCAGATCATCCTCAGTACCCTAAGCAATAGAATACTCCCTTCCCTTACATAGCTACTCCACCTCACCAATTCCCACCACTCCTCACTCCTTCTCACCTCTCCTCACTGCCAAGAGCATCTGCCAGGGGTATCCACATGCCAATCGCCGCCTCATCGCCCCTCATAGCCTCCCCCATAGCTTCCCCCATCCCCTCCCCTCTCGCCACCTCCCACATCTCCCCCACCACTCCAGCAGCCTCGCTCCATTGGTCGAGAGAAGAGTGGGCCGCGGAGAGGAGGGAGAGGAGGGGGAGGGAGGCGGCGTGGGAGGGGCCGAGGAAGGAGCGGAGGGAGGGGAGGGCGGAGAGGAGGATCGGGAGGGCTTCGTTGGGGCGGCGGAGGGAGAGGAGGAGAGAGGCGAGGTCTGTTGCTGTGCCTGGGAGGTGGGGAAACGGGGAAAAGGGAATGAGGCAAAATGGAGGAGAGGGGTGTGGCGGATGGAAGGGACTGGGAAGCCATGTCATTTACAAAAGGGGATGGAAGGGACTGGGAAGCCATCTCAAAAGGGGATGGAAGGGACTGGGAAGCCATGTCATGTACAAAAGGGGATGGAAGGGACTGGGAAGCCATGTCATTTACAAAAGGGGAAGGGGATGGAAGGGACTGGGAAGCCATGTCATTTACAAAAGGGGATGAAAGGTTAACACAAAAGGAACACAGAAAGAAACTCTCACAAAATGACTCACCCACGGCCTGCAGCAAGCGGTCGGGTGTTCCCTCCTACATTTGCACCCTCACGCACTTGCACCCAGCTTCTACCCTATCAGTCCACACATGCAGATTCCTCCCCCAATGACTCACCCACTGCCTGCAACAAGTGGGCGGGGTGTTCCCTTCTGATGCTCGGCGCTCGAAATAAGTAGATTTTTGAGGCGTCTCAAACAAGTGAATTCACTTGATTCACGCGGCCTGCAACAAGTGGTCGGGGTGTTCCCCGCTGATGCTCAGCGCTCGTTGCAGCAGAGGCATGGCCATGTCACAGCGGTCGGTGCGCTTGTTGAGATGGAGAGCACTGCTGCTCGCTGCCAGTGAGACGGCTAATCAGTCCACACACACACCTGTTTCTCTTTCCACAACACCTCTATTCCCTACCCCAATAACTCCCCCTCTTCCCTCTGCCTCACTCTGACTCACCCACGGCTTGAAGCAGATGATCTGGGTGCTCCTTTCGGATACCGAGGGCTCGTTGCAATAAAGGCACGGCCATGGCGTTCAAGTTGGTGTGTTCAAGTTGACACATGCAATTTCCTCTCCCTCCCACTCACCCACAGCCTGCAGCAAGTGGTCCGGGTGCTCCTTTCGAATACCGAGCGCTCGTTGCAATAAAGGCACGGCCATGCCACAGCGGTCGGTGCGTTTGAGGTGCAGAGCCACGTGGGAGAGCGCTGCTGCTGCCTCCTCACTGCGCTGGTGCGCCGCTGGCATGGCTGACAGTACCTTTATTGCTCGCTTGCTCACTTTCTGGTGTGGTGGGTGGCGGGTGAGGTGGAAGGGGGTGAAGAGGGGTGAAGAGGGGTGAAGAGGGGTGAAGGAGGGTGCAAAGCCACGTGGGAGAGCGCTGCTGCTGCCTCCTCGCTGTGCTGGTGTGCTGCTGGCATGGCTGACAGTACCTTGTTCGCTCGCTTGCTCACTTTCTGGTGGTGGGGTGAAGGAGGATGAAGAGACGTGGAGGAGGGTAAGGGAGAGTGACGAAAAAGAGCAATGGTGGGATGGGGGACCACAGAAACCAATGCTTCGATGGCTGTTTTCTAAAGGCCTGAAGGCGAAAATTGAATTTCAAGCGTACACCTGTGGACACCTGCCTCACATCTTTGCATCGTCCCCAACACACCCCCCTGCCTCGTCTCAGCCTCCTCCGCCTGCCCTGTCTGCCAGTACACGTCCGCAGCGAGTGCATACATCCTCGCCACAGCCGGTATCATGGTTATTACTTTGCCTCACCTCACCTCACCTCAACGCACAGCACCGCCCCGTACCACACTGTACCGCACTGCACCGCACCTCACCTCTGCCTCCTCAGCCTGCCCTATCTGCCAATAAACATCAGCAGCGAGAGCATACGTCCTCGCCACAGCAGGGTGGTCCTTCCCCAGCTCCTCCCCCTGCACCGCCACACACTGCTTCAGTGCTTCCAACGCCAACACTGCCATATCCATCGCCTCCTCTCTCCCCTCCCCTCCCTCTACTCCTCCCTCGTATCTTCCCTCTACTCCTCCCTCATCTCCTCCCCTTACTCCTCCTCCTAATCCTGTACCCAGTCCTTCCCCTTGCTGCTCTCTGCCGCTGATCCCCTCCCCGTTCTCCGCCTCCTCTTCACCCCCCTTCTCCCCCCTCCCCCCGCGCTTCCCCTCCTCCCCCTCCTCCCCCTCCTCCCCCATCTCCCCCATCTCCCCCATCTCCTCTCCATCCCCTCTCTGCAGCAGCCCCGAGTGAAGGATGATATCAACAGTGGCGAGGTGCACAGAGGCGAGGTCGAGGGGGGAGAGGGCGGAGGGCGGGGAGGGCGAGGAGAGCAGGGAGGAGAGAAGGGCGGCTGCTGCTGAGAGGTGGTGGACGGCGGGGGAGGCGTCACCTTGACCGGCGTGCACTGCTGCTAGCAGACTGAGGGGGGGGAGGGATGGGGGAAGGGGAAAGGGGAACGAGAAAACGGAGGGAATGAGGGAGAGCAGGGAGGAGAGCAGCGCTGTTGCTGCTGACAGGTGGTGGACAGCAGGGGAGGGGTCGCCTTGACCTGCATGCACTGCTGCTAGCAGGCTGAGAGCAAGAGGGAGGGAAGGGAGATTGGGAAAAAGAGGGGATGAGGGAGGAGAGAGAGGATGCTGCTGCTGACAGGTGGTGAACGGCTGGGGAGGGGTCACCTTGACCTGTATGCACTGCTGCTAGCAGACTGAGAGCAAGAGGGAGGGAAGGGAGATTGGGAAAAAGAGGGGATGAGGGAGGAGAGAGAGGATGCTGCTGCTGACAGGTGGTGGACGGCTGGGGAGGGGTCACCTTGACCTGCATGCACTGCTGCTAGCAGACTGAGAGCGGGAGAGGGGGAGGGGATCGGGAGGGGGGAAAGTGGGGGGAGCAAGAGAGGGGATGAGGGTGACTAGGGACTCACATTGCATGTTTGAGAACGGACTCACATTGCATGTTTGAGAACGGACTCACATTGCATGTTTGAGAACGGACTCACATTGCATGGGTGGTATGATATGGATAACAGCAGGGTAAGGAACGGACTATGGTGGTAAGACAGAGATGTTTGAGATGGTCCTTGATAAGCAAACAACACCTCCTCAATAAGCCGACTCACCGGTGGTCAGCCACCTCCTTCATTACAGCCTCCTCATACTCCCTCCTCACCTCCTCCCCCCCACTCCCCTCCAACTCCTCCCTCACTCTCTCCCTCAGCTCCTCCCCTCTCACCCCTCCTCCCTCCGCACCCTCCCCTCCCCCTTCTCTCCCCTCCCCACTTCCCTCCTCCACTACCATCCGCTCCTCCAACCCCCTCCTGTGCGCCTCATGCAGCTGCAGCGCGCGCATCCCCATGGCATGGGCGTCGGCTAACCGCATGTGCCGCGCACACTCCTCCCCCACATGCTGAAGTGCGTCTGCTACTCTTGGGTCCTCTGCACCCAGTGCGTCCTCTTGTAGCTCGAGAGCAGTCCTGAAAAAGCAAGGCAGGGAGCACAGAGAATGGAAAGAGCACACAGTGGCTGATTTGGTCGAGCACACCCCCATGGCATGGGCGTCGGCTAGTTGCATGTGTCTCGCACACTCCCCCCCCACGTGCTGCAGTGCATCAGCCACTCTTGGATCCTCTGCACCCAGTGCTTCCTCTTGTAGCTCGAGAGCAGTCCTGGAAGGGGTGGCAAGAGGACAGAGGGAGAGGGTAAACACACACTCCTCCTCTACACCCAGTGCTTCTTCTTGCAGGGATAGAGCAGTCCTGAGAAGGAAAGCAGAGCACAGAGAGAAGGAGGAGAGAGCAGAGGCATGCAGCATGCCAACCTGTGTGCCTCACATGGGGGTCAGCCCACCTGTATGCATTCAATGCAGCATCCATGTTGCACGTGGCATGTTGCACGTGGCATGTTGCACGTGGCATGGCATGGCACTGCATACCTAGATGTGGTTTCTCCATGCTTGTGACTTTCGAGGACTCTAAAAAAAAAAAAAAAAAACAGAAACAGGTCGCATCTGGCACTGCACACAAAGATGATAGATGTGGCTTCTTGATTTAAAGACAGCCTCAGCGGCTCACCCACATGCCCCACCCACCTACATGCCTCACCCACCTACATGCCCCACCCACCTACATGCCCCACCCACCTACATGCCCCACCCACCTACATGCCTCACCCACCTGTCTAGGATATACACACTCGCCCACCTGTATGCCTTCAGTGCAGTGTCCATGTCCCCCCTCGCACTGCATGCCAGGATGTGGCATTCCATCTAATATGTCTCATTATTATGATAATAACCTCAGCCACATGGTTTACTCACCTGTACGCCTTCAATGCAGTGTCCATGTCGCCCCTCGCACTGCTGACGTCAGCTCGCAGCATGTGCATGGCGAACCCAACCATGTGGATGGCATCTGCTGTCCCTTGTGCCATCGCTGCTGCTGCTTCTTCCCCCTCCCCCTCCCCATCACCACCCTCTACCCTTCCACCCTCTCCTCCTCTGCTACCCGAATCTCCCCCACTCTCCACCCCTGCACCTCCACTCCCCGATCCGCACCTCTCCCCCCCATCTGATCCTATTTCCCGCTCAGTCCCAGCTACGTCTTGCTCTTGCATGAGGCTCTGAAGCTTCTTGGCAGCTTCCAGCGCTGCTTCGCACTGCACAAGGAGGGAGAGACACTCGTCGGGGTCGCCGAGCCTGCGGGAGCAATGGGAGGATGAGGGAGGGGAAAGGGGGTTGGGTGGGGAGTGAAGGAGGGAAAGAAGAGATTCACACAATATCACCTCATTGTTACAAGGCGTGCGGTCACATCTCGCCATCAAAACTTCCATTCACATGCGGCCGTGACATGCAGACACGAGCAAGGTCGTGATATATCAACCCATCATGCCATCCATCCAACAGTCCATCACCCCATCATCTGACATGGCATGTGGCCATGAAGTGCAGAGGCATGACTATGTCATGCGATATAACCCCATCACCCCATCACCCAACCACCCATCACCCATTACACCATCACCTGGCATGGCATGTGGCCACGAGGTGCAGCCACATATCATTGTCATTGCCAATAATGTCACCTCATCATGCAATCATGCATCATGCCATCACACCATCGTGCCATCAATCATGTCATGATGCAATCATCTCATCGTGCCATCGTGCAATCGTGCCATCACTCCTTTATGCCATCATGCCATCACTACACCATGCTATCACATCATCACCTGGCATGGCATGCGGCCATGAGGTGCAGGCGCATGGATGAGATGTGGTATGACCCCCATCATGCCCCCATGCCATCATAGCCCATCACACATCATCACCTGGCATGGCATGCGGCCATAAGATGCAGGCACATGATGCCATGCGACATAACCCCGTCATTCATGCCATGCCATCGCACAAGCACCCAACACCCCATCACCCCATATCACCTGGCATGGCATGCGGCCATGAGGTGCAGGCACATGGCTCGCACGGGATCCCCATCCATGGCCACGCCGTCAAACACCTGAGGATGCCATCCGGGGGAGGGTGGGCCATGTGGAATAAAGGTTGAAGGTCTGAGTTTCAGGGTTTAAGAGGGAGAGTCATAACAACGGTGCCAAACACGTGATGGTGCCAGGGAAGGGAGGGTCATGCACAGCCAGGGTTCAGGGTCTAAGGTTTTGGGTCTGTGGTTGGGGTTAAAATTAGGTTTGAGGTTAGCATTCGGGTTTGGGGTTTCGCGGGGTCGTGGTTTGTGGTTTTGGGGTTTCAGTGTGCAAGAGCATACAGGCTTCAAGGACAAGCCACAGATGTTGATTGTATTTTGACTGGATATGCCAGGTCAATGTCATGCCCTGCAGATAGACAGCACCTCCCCCACATCTCACCTCCCACGCCTTCTCAACCACAGATAGCACCTCCCCCGCATCCTGCCCTTGATCCATATACGCCTGCGCCAGTCGCAGCCTGAGCCCCGCCACCAGCTCGTGCCTCTCGCCGTACGCTTGCCGCGCCTCCTCCACCACCCCCTCCAGCACCCCCACCGACACGTCCTCCGAACCTAAATCCGAGCCTGGATCCGAGCCTGAATCCGAACCTACATCCGAACCTAGATCTGACCCTAGATCCGAACCTAGGTCTGATCCTAGTCCGCCCGCAGCCTCGCCCCTGCCGCCAACACTCCCGCTGCTGCCGCCACCACTGCCGCCATCACTGCCGCTGCCGCCGCTGCCACTGCTGCCGCCGGCGGAGGCGGCGCTAAAGGCGCGCACATACGGCGAGCTGACCACGAGCGGTGTGGGGTGGTGATGAGGGGCGGAAAGTCGAGAAAGAGGTGTATGGCGCGGCGCAGAGCGGTACCGCTGGGCGAGTGATGATGTGGCTTTGGAAGGTAATGGCTCGGCGGACAGCGTGGCAACGCCAGGCTGGCTGACAGCCTGGCAGCAGATTTGTGGCAGCGCGTCAGTGAATCGTCCTACGTGGTCATCGCCGCAGCGGCTGGTCGGACGTGCCGCGTCTACCTTCCGGCTAGCAGGCGGAACGAGTAACGCTGCCGGCCGATCTCCGCCAGCCGCCGTGACGGCCCCCGCGCGGGGCTGTAGCGCGCCGAGCCGGGGAGCGGCATGGCGCTGCGCGAAGAGATGGAGAAGGCGAGACGCGCGGGAGTTGCGAACGCGATGCATGCGGGCGGACTGGGGGCGGACGGCTACGGACGGGGCGGATGACTGCGCGGATGGGTCGGACAGCGCGAACGGTGAATGCGCGGGCGGGCCTGACGGGAGAGACTCCTTGCGCTGCAGGCGGCAACAAGAAAACGCGGTTCAGCGCGGATGGATTCGGGATGGCTGGGAAAGTGCGGGCCCGACGCAGCGTGTCAGGATGGAAGGGGGGGATTTGGGTGGTGTGATCACATCCTGTCCTGGCATTACACCGCAATAAAGCGTTCTGTTTCCGCATTATTTCGCCTCGGTTTGGGCTGATCGAAGTACATGTAACGGTTCATAATATGTAAATGAACTAAAACTTGTGTCCAGATTCCAAATTCTGTACATGCAACTGCTTCTGCATAAGAGGTGAGAATCAATGGTTGGAATCTTGCCAGAAGGGAACACTCTTATGACACAGAATAGACGGAAAGTATAAGCCCAGGCATCAATTTTACTGCATCCCTCCCTCCCTAGCCAAATGAAGACATAGGACATGGCAGTACACGTCCCAGTTCTTCCACCTCAGATACTAGAGCAGCTCGCAGCATCTGCACAGCTTGGGCAGCTTGAAGCATCTCAACACGAAACACCTAAGATTGCAGGTCCACCCGGTCACGCAGCCCCAGCTCTGCAATGACGTGGCAGTACTAGTCCTAGTTCTTGTGTTGCAGATACTTGAGCAGCTTGCACCCTAGACTAGACGCCACGAACGACAGCACAAACCATCACTCAAGAACTAAGATTGCAGTTCCACTCGGTCACGCAGCCCCAGCTCTGCAATAACATGGCAGTACGAGTCCCAGTTCTTCCTCCTCAGATAGTTGAGCAGCTTGCAGCATCTGAACAGCTTGCACCGTTTTGAGACGTCACGAACGACTCACAACCCACAGCACAGAACACCTAATCAACGGCCAATCAAGACTGCAGGTCCACTCGGTCGCGCAGCCCCAGCTCTGCGATGACGTGGCAGTAGGAGTCCCAGTTCTTCCGCCTCAGATACTTAGCAGCTTGCGCCGTTTGAGACGTCACGAACTGTCAAATGTTGATATTTGTGATAGGCCGTAGTGAGGTGCTCCTTAGTGAGTACAAACATGTTAGGGTTTCCTATTTGTACCCCAACTCCTTTCTAGTCAATCATTCCGTTGTGTTCAGATTCTAAGATGGTATCTGAGTAGGTTCCGTTCCTAGCTTAGCCTAGCGCCTTCGCCTTAGCGCCCTCCGCGCCCTCCGCGCCCTTTGCGCCTTAGCGCCCTCCGCGCCTTAGCGCCCTCCTAGCCCGGCCGCGCCCTCCGCGCCTTAGCGCCCTCCTAGCCCGGCCCTCGGTTCCGTCGCGCGCCCCTCCTCACTTTCGACCGCCCCTCCCCACTGTCGTGCGCGCCCTCCTCACGGTCGCGCGCCCTCCTCACCGCCCCTCCTCACCGTTCCGCGCCCCTCCCCACCGTCGCGCGCCCTCCCCACCGTCGCGCGCCCTCCTCCCCGCCCCTCCCTACCGTCGCGCGCCCTCCCCACCGCGCCCGCGCCCTTCGCTAGCGCCTCCGCGCCCTTAGCCCGTTGCGCCCTCTTGCGCCCTCTCGGCCCAGTGCCCTTCGCGCCCGTCGCCTGCGACCTCCGCGCCCTTAGCCTCCGCGCCCTTCGCCCACGCCTCCGTGCCCTCCTCACCTCCGCGCCTCCGAGCCCTTGGCCCGCGCCCTAGCCTCCGCCCGCGCCATCGCCTTAGCCCGCACCCACCCACACTCGGCACGCGCCCTCACCACACCACCGCCCTGTTCGCTGGGCCCTACCCATTTCTACTACCATTGGTCTCTCGCTCAGCGGCTGGCAGCCGCTTCTCTCGCCGACCGCCTAGGTTAGAGCCGTGTAGCTGCTAGTTCCTAGCTCTTAGCACTCGTCTCTGGAGTTCCTCGCCGCTTCACGCCTAGACTAGGTCGTTCCGTGCTCCTAGCCTCTAATTCCGCCGGTATCTTACCTCGCCACACCTGGCGCTCCTAGATTTCCCTCCTCGTTCTTAGCTCCGCCTCCTCCGTGCTCCAGCAGCCTCTAGCATGGCCTCCATTATGGAATCCTGCCGCCTTCGTTTTGATGCGGAGGGACGCCCGATCGAGTTCAGTACCTGGCAGCGCCAGACCACGCGCTACCTCACCAGTCAGCGTCAGGACGGCGCCACCCTGTGGGCCCACGCGTCTGGTGCCCTCAAGGCGCCCCAGTCCCCCGCCCACCTGCCGACCGGCCCAGAGCCGACTCCTGCGGCCCAGGCGGACTACGACCGTCGGGTCCTGGCAAGGGACGTGTGGAACTCCCGCAACGCTGCCGCCGCTCTTGCGCTGACGGAGCTCCTCTCCCCGACTGAGGCCGCCCACTTTGACAAGGTGGAGACAGCTCAGGGGGTTTGGGATGCTATTGTTGCACGATATTCCACCCCTTCCTCTGCCTCCCTCAGTCGCCTCCTCATGCCGTTCGTGTTTCCCGACCTCGGCTCATTTGCGACTGTGTCCGACCTAGTGACTCACCTCCGCTCACTTGACGCCGGTTTCCATGCGACCTGTACCGACGCCCAGCTTCTTGCTGCTCCCCCCTCATGTGGCTCACTGTGCTCTGGTTAGTCACCCGCCTCCCTGACCGCCTTGCCACTGCTCGCGACGCGCTTCTCCAGAAGCACCCCACTGAGCTCACTATCGATCTCCTTGAGACCGCTCTCGGGACGATCGAGAGTAGCCTCCTCACCGTTGCCTCCGCCGCTAACGCGGTGGCCCCCCGTCTCTTTGCGGGGTGTGTCGCCCCTCAGCTTCAAAATTTCACTGCTACCCGCGAGTCTGCTGCTGTGTCGGTTTCTAAGGACACTGCTGCCGTTTCTGCCGCAGGCTGGCAGAAACGGGGCAAGAGTGGCAAGAAGGGCGGGAAGGGGGGAGGTGGAGGTGGTGGAGGCGGCGGTGGAGGTGGTGGTGGAGGTGGGAGCGGCGGTGGTGGAGGCGGCGGCGGCGGCGGAGGTGCACCAGGAGGAGGGGGCCTTGGAGGAGGTGCAGGACAGACAGGCCCGCCCACTGGCGGTGGCCCGACAGGTGGGGGTGTTGGACCCCAGCAGCAGCAGTCGCAGCAGCACCAGCCACAGCAGGGACAGCAGCAGCAGCAGGGACCGCAGCAGCAGCAGGCACTGCAGCAGTTCCAGCAGTGGGGGCCCCCACTGCAGTGGGTTCCGCAGCAGCACTGGGGTCCCCCTCCGCAGTGGGGTCCGGGAGGACCAGGGAGCACCGGCCGCAGCGGCAGTACTTCCAGCTGGGCCCCTCGCCCCCCTCGCCGTGACACTGGCCCTTGCACCCACTGGTGCCTCACCGGACCGGGCAGAACCTGTCTCTGCGGTCGCGACGACCACTCTGCCGCGCGGTGCTTCCGCCGCCTTGACGACCTCTACCGTGCTCGTTGGGGCCCTGCGGCGACCACGCCTCGCTGGGCTCGCCTATTAGCCCGTAAGATTGATGTGTTTGATCTGTCCATGGACGATGCTCGTCAGCATGCTGTGTATGCTGATGTTGACCATAGTGCTGATGGATCTGTGTACTCGCGTGTTCGTAGATTAGCTTGCTTGCCTCCTGCTAGTGTAGACTTCTGCTTTTCTAGTCTAGGTGCTTGTGTTGCTGCTCTAGGTGCTTGTGTAGCCACTAGGACAGGTGACCCTCCGGCTGAGGCATCCCTGTCCTTCACGATGGACTCTGGTGCGTCTCAGTACTTCTTCCGCGACCACACGACACTCACGCCACTCCTCACTCCTATTTCGGTAGCTCTGGCTGATCCTACCTCAGGACCAGCCGTTGCGCGTAGCTCC